TTTATTAAAAGAATCACAGGCAACAAAGCAAGTTTGTGTTGTGGCATCGCATTATGGTGCTAATCCTCTTTGGAGGACAATCCAGAGCCCCCCAAATGCTGCGCTATCCGAAGCCTCTCCGAGCGGCAGCAGCCGCGGGCTGCCTGGCAAAGTCCTCACTCTCTGCTTTTGGCAGGCGGGAGTCCTCGGGCTCCGCCACGCRCCGAGCACCCAGGGCACCTAGCAAGGCTGCCTCAGATTTCGCTTGGTTTTAAAGGATGATGTTTTAATTGCAAATAAAACACCTTCTTTTCATTCAGAGCAGACYGGTAGGTTATTGCTACTATATTCCAGACTACATTAAAAAAGTKCACATTGTACTTCATCTATTGGTGCCACGTCAAGCTTTGATTGAGGATGCTCGTATGAGCAGATACTTTGTTTTACACACAAGTGGACAGTATAGAAACATAATATACTATATATACTAGTGGATAGCTTAGAAAGGAATGCAGCTCTACTTTGTTTCCTAGAAGAACCTACTAAAACCTTTTCCTGAACCCCCTCAAAGCCCACGTAATAAGTGCTTTGCATCCGACCCAGCTCTTGCATTCCAGAGAAACTATTAAAAAAGAGAACTCGGCTCTGAACATGCAGCTGCCACTGCTGTGAGCACAGAGCAGTTTTCCAAAATACATGTTTTTACATGTTTTTAGAATATTTATGCCAGCATTTCATATGACTAGCATGAATACGATAAATATTATGGGAAAAAAAATGAGTGTTTACCGATACTAAGCAATTCTGATTTCTATTCTARTATTTTGAAAAACTAGGTATAATTGAGCTAAATATCTCCCAGCAGGCAAGCAGGACAAAAAGATTTCTTTGTTGTTTTTTCAGTGTTTGGGGGGAGGGAAAAGGATATCCATCCAGGATACACGGAACACAGAGGGCCCTTTGGGACCTTTCACTGCCCCAAACCACGACCTGTAACGGGCAGGATCTCCCCAGACTTGCACGAGTGGCCACAACATGCCCAGAAAGTGATGATGCCACTGCAGAAATTTGCTTTCAGCATCGTCTCAGTGCCCGGGCAAAATGAAATGRCTTAAGTGCAGAAGCACCTAATTGCTTTAGGATATGTCGTTTCAAACAGCAGATTGCCTGAGATAATGCAGTGACTGGAGCAGAACCGGACAAGAAATAGAGTGCCATGAACAGGTAAAAGAGACCCAGACGCAGGGCAGCTAGTTCTGTAGTAGCCAAGCTATGCCAGGCACGACCCAAACCGGCTGTGTGTGGCTTGTGCTGGTGAGAAGCATCTGTAAGTCCCAGCACAGCCACCGTGTGATCCCAGCTAGCTTGCTGCATTGAAGCTGCTGTGGTTCTTACTCTGCTAATGACCCACAAATAGATTAGGCTCCCCTGTTTTCAAAACTGAAGTCTGTCTGCAGACTCCAGGATAGGGCTAGCACTGCTGGCCTGGGACACTGAAGAATTTAGGCTGACTACAGATACGCCAGARTGCCTCTCTGCACAGCACTCCATACAGGCAGTCATTCCGACCCTCAGTCCCCTACAATGCGGGCACAGCCAGGGTTTGTGGTCTGGCCAGTGTGATGCTGTCTCTGAAAGCGTTTCCCTGCCACGGAGCAGCACGTCCCTCTGAGAGGGAGCAAAGCGGCTGCCGCCCGGCGCGAGKGCGGGGAGGGAACCCAGCCCTGCAGGGCAGCCAGGGCCGCCCGGGCAGCTGCCTCAGGAGCCCCAGGTCTGTGCACGGAAAGGGTTAAAATAAAAATGTTCATGCATCAAAAACACAACTGGTGCTCCCAATCTCTTCTCCCGGCTCACAGACAATAATAAATATCCCAAAATGCGCTAAAAGCAACTTTATACTGTGYTCTCTTGGTTTCCACTCTGATTTCTTTCAAGGTCGCGTGGTCATAAAACAACAAAAAGTCCCCTAACACATGAGCCTAACAGTGCTCAGGAGCAGAGCCRGTTCCCACGGGAACCTAACTGCCCCGGCCTGCTGCCTTCTCCTGCCTTGAGGCGCTTCCAAGATGCAAACCAGAAATAAGGACTCGCATCTCCATCGCTCCTACAGAAACTGAAAACACAAACATGATAATTACAGATCTCATTGCTGAACTATGACAAAAGGAACAAACACCATTAACGAATGTAAGAGGAAGAACGTGTTCTCTAAGCATTAGAGGGTGCCCACGATATCTCGCGGCTAGTTTAAAAGCATCTTGCAGAGAGGAAACGCAAAGCAGGGAGGCAGCGGCCGGACTGCCCCTCTCCCGCACACGGCAGCGTGATTCACTTAAAACCAAGCCCACTCGTCAACACTTTAGGAGCTACCCTGTAATTATCATAAAGATGCTTGTTGTGTAAGTGGTATAAACACTCTCTGCAGGAGGTTATGCCTTGAAACACTAAGGAAACACAAAACTTACCTGCTAAAATTGCTGTCTAATGTATAAGCACATATATACGCATAGCAAGCAAGGCATTTAAGTGCCCCACTGTTACACGGTTCAGCTGTGTATGTAAATATGTGGCAACTACTCTAAAACAAGGAAACGATGAGTATTTAATCATAGGAGACTTGTATCAGGTTCAAGGGAACTGGAAAAGGACTAAATGGAAAAAAAMCCAGCAGAAGAATGGCTTTAATATTGGGTAACATTTCAAATTTTTATCACCTAAATCCACCAAATTCTTGATCTGCTCCTTCTCGCGTTCTCTGCAGAGCTGAAGTCAGGACCAGCTAAATAAAAGATAATGCAACTAGGCATAACACAATAAAAGATATTACCTTCACAATGCATTATTGCTGCCAATTATAAGAATCACTTCAACTTAATTTCAAAAGCACAATCACCCTCAACTGTAACAGTCGCTTTTTTAAATTTCAAACAGTATTACATTAAGGCAATAACTCACCTTCCAGCTATAATATCAGTCTCCCTTATTGCAAAAATACATTTCATAAATACTTCTCATCGACAAGTCAAGCTAATTCAGGTTAATTTTATTGTATTTTGGTGCTATCTCACATTTGTGTGCAATTACCTTTATCATTTTATTGCCATGCCAGAAAGTAATCAGAACAATTATTTGAAAAAGGAGGTGTATAAATTCTAAATCACACTTGCTGGCATTTTTGATAAAATAGCAGCTTTATCTCAGAAAGTGGCAGGGACAACGGATAAATCATGCATCAGTCAAGTGCAGCTGACCCCCAAGTGCATTGCACAATATCAGGAGTGCTTCAAAAGAAACTTTCCTACATAATCCATCATTCTTTGTAACACCRAAACAGCTCTACCTGAAGAGCAGGAGCTGGAGAATAATAACAAAATAAATCTAAGCAATATGAACAAAACCATTAATAGTGCTCCTTTTTAAGCTAAAGGACAGTCAGGAAATCTGAATTGTGTTCAAAAATGTCACTGGAATCTGTAAAGCGAGTGGAAGAACAGCTTTAACCGCAAATGGAATGGTGACCTGTGTGTTAAAAATCCTGTAAACACACAAATTCACGTACGGGAAAGTCGTAATAAATAATAAAGGCAAGAGGAGAGCCCACATGCAGCCAGAGCAGTGCCCAGGCCTGGCTGCTCCCAGAACCTTCCTTATCATTTTCTTATTCCCCCAACCATGGGTGCAACCACTGCGGAGCACCCTGCCCGTGCAGTAGCTGCTTTCTGCAGAAGCCACACGCCAGGTACACGTGTCTGCGTCCTCTCACGCCCACAGGTGGTTGCACTAATCACCGCAAACTGCAGACTAAGGAGGCACTGGAAGTACCCGCGTGGCGAGGGCTGCGTGGAGCCGGCAGCATCACCGGGCACGGGAGGGCAGGGCGAACGCTCTGCTCCCCGACACGGAGAGGTTGCCCTGCTCCCCGACAAGCAGAGCTGGGAGCTCCCCTCGCAGCCAGCGCCGYGGCCTGCAGCTCGGAGGGAGAGCGGGAAAGTGAAAAGGTTGGATAACAAATTACTGGTGTCGTCTCGCTTGCCAACTGTATCACACGCGGCTTCCAGTGAGACCGAGCTGGTGATTCCTTCAAGAAAGTAATCAAGTATTTCTCTGCAATTATCCCCGGTACTCGCTACAAGGTGTTTTCAACTAAAAGGCACACAAATACGAGGAGAGTTCAAAGGAAAAAAAAAAAAGGCAAAAAAATCTGTTTTCCTGAACTTCTCCCTCAACCATTCCATTTCAAAAAGCAATTTACTTCTGGAGAACAAAAGGAACGTCTTCCACAGAAGGGTGTGAGACAGACGTATGCCAAAATGCTTCCTCTAAGCAACATGATGTCATGTAAAGCAGATAAAACCAGACATGACACTATTAAGACGCTTTTAATAGTGGTAAGAGTAGGAATAGATAGATGTGCAAGGTTGATTGCACTAGAAATACCATGTTCCTAGAGCAACATTGCCAATCACGACACAAAAATAGTTATTCTACAGAAAAAAAAAAAAAGGTATTACTCCCTTACTCCTCTTCAACAGCCATTTCCACTTGAAGAACATGGCAAATGACTAAAAATTAGCTGGCGCCTGTCTTTTGGTAAGGTCAGTTCTCCTAAATTCCTTGATAAATACTATGTTTCTTGTTTACCGTAAGCATTCATTTTCACACACTTAAATACCTCACTGAAGCAGCCAGTCACAAAATCAAATGTGTTTTTTTTCTAATAAATGAGGTTTTTATTAGGAAATGGAAGTAAACAGCTAAGTTAAGAGTGAAAATGCAGCACTGTCCTATTAGGTTATGCTCTGTGGAAGATAGATATGTGATGGGGAAAGGTCCACTGATGCCTGTTACCGACCATGACAGGGCTACAGAGATTTACAATGCAGCATCAATCTTGTCAAGCGCATTCTTAATACTGACTGCTGGACACTGGGGAGCAAAACAAACTATGTTATGTGAGCCCTTTTGTAATGCTGCACTTTTAATGTATACCTAAACACAAGGATATTTCGCTAGAAACTTACTTTTCGAACACGCTTTGCTGCCATGGTAGATGGTGGAATTTTGCCTGCAAGGGGGAAAAGAAAAGAATTCTCGGTTACAATGAGATTTAATTTCAATTCCACAGGAAGAACACGTGAATATTATCATTTCTCTTATCACTACCTCTAAATTATTATTTAGCCTCTAAGCTTTAAGTATATACAATATTAAGAGGGAACACGATCTTTCTTTTTTTGCAAGCTAACAGAAATTAATATTTCAAAATATATATTAAGCAAGGAATTAATGAATAGGTGAGAATTAATAGTCGACATGCTAAAGACGTCTCATTACAAGCACTGCAAAACTCTCATCCATGGAATAAAAATGCTCTTAAGACACACTATTAAYGTAAGGAATGTAGGGGCAATCATGCATTTCTGACTTATTAAATAATCTGTCGGGTTTTAGATAAAAATACACATCTGCATAGAAACAGACAATTTTTAAGGAAGAAAAGGATGTGACTTTGACAGAAGTTATATTCTCGATTCAAAAGCAAAGAGTGCAAGATAATAAGAAAAGACCTAGGCTGGTTAAATGTTAGAATTCCAGTTGCAGACAATATCCAAGATCAACATTGAGTATCATAAGCAAAAACTCAAGCAGGATCCTCTGTGCTGCTTGCTAGGAGAGAGGCGGAGGGCTAGTCTAGGACGGAGGAGGAAGGCTGGTCCTCCATCGGATAAGCCCAGCACTAACAACTGCTCTCTGGAAATAACCTGTGCTCGTGGGTTCCTCCTCAGCCAGCGACGGGCAGGAGCGCCGAGAACACGGTGCGASGCGAAGCACCTTCTGTATCAGTCGCTTTGTGCAGAAAATTATATTTGTAAAATAGCTGCAAGGTAAACATTGCCACAGAGCAGACTTTGAAGGAAATTAAAATGTCAAAGACAGCATCAGAATAAAAGTAATCGGCACCTGCGAAGCAAAGATGTCACATACAGGCTTCCCCTCACCTATAAATCATCCCTCACAACAGTCGGGAGCCAACAATTATCCGGCGGCTCGGCTCGCTCCTGACGGGAGCGCTTCCCAGCACGCCGAATTCCTGACGGGAGCAGCACCCGGCACGCTGAACGCAGAKGAGCTGCCACCAAGGCGAGGCCCGAGGCTCCTCCTTGGCCGTGCGGCTGGGTGGCATGGCCAGGCACCAAGKCCCCCAGCCGGGAAGCCCATCGGGGCTCAGGGACATGCCATGAAGGGCGCTGAAGGGGCCAAAATCACATCCACAATCGGGGAAGCCTGAAGCAAAGTTCTACTGGATCTTCATGGGGATACCACTTACTACAATTCATTCTTCAGGACTTTAAGTATCATATTTAAGATTATCTTTGGCTTTCTTATCTTTTGCCCCTTTCTGGAAGGGAGGCTTTTCCTACTTGGCAAAACAACCAGACATGTTGTTCAGTGCAGAAGGCTCCACTGAGACCCTGTCATCCGTTCCCTCACGGTGGCTCCAGAAGCAGCCAGACCACAGAGGAAGCCAGAGGTACCTCCTGAGGGAAGACCAAGAGCTTGGGGAGGTGGGTGGAAGAGGACAAATTAATCAGGAGAGGCTGAAGGATGCACAGGGAGAGCCTGTGATTGACTCCTCCTCTTGACCTCCCTCTGCCCCAGGTTGAGCTGCTCAAGCACCTGCTGATCTCCAGCAGCAACAACCACCTTCTCCTGGTGGGCACTGGGGCACACAGAGCTCGTGGCGACTGCAGCAGGCTGAGAAAGCCGCACGTGGCCTGGGTGGACATCAGTAGGCTCAGAAATAAAACCCAGCCCTCCCAAAGGGGTGGCAGCCTTGCAAAGAGACAGTCCTGCTTCGAGGCCAACACGGGCCTCTCTCCTTGCCTGCTCCAGAGTCTCCTCCAGGGCTGATTTTGCAGATCAGATCCCCAGCGCTTCTTTCCTTGATTGCACAGGAGCTGCCACTGCTCAAACTCAACCACACTATGTGCGACRGTGGCTCCTTGACAAAAACTGTCATAGAAAGTATTTGTCTCCATCTATGAGCTTGTKATACCAAGAGATTCTCCTTGAAAGAAGTCCTCAGGATCCACAGAACTTAATGCTCTCCAGTTTCGGTCGCAGAATTTTAAAAAGACTATTATATCAAGTYGCCATATGAATAAAATTCTATATGAAAACATTTAAAGTACATTAGATTTTTGGTCAAGATGAAAGCCTGAAAAAAATAAAAAAAAAAAAATCAAGCAATCTATTCTAATTGGGTTCCCATGGTAACTGTACAATTGGGTTTTTCAGTATAACATCCCAGAGGCCCAATGCACACTTGTAAAATATACTTCAAACAGCCTGAATTGTTTTTACATTACAGCACTCCCAGGAAGATCAATTACTATACATCCCCACCCTAACTATTAGTGGCAGGGGATGTTAACACTATTGGCCATATTAACATAAGTCATGTAAAAAACACCACATATCACCATCATTATATAAAACTAATTACACACTTCAGATTCATCAAACATGTTCCCAGTAATAAACCAATACTCGTCCTGTCACAAGATCATGTTTACTGAACGTAAGAAATCAACCCCAAATATATGCCAAGCCATTTTGCTTCTTATATTGATTTCAAGGATAAACAGAATCAATCATTAATAATTACATTATAAGGTGACCCATAGGGTTAATCATATTCTTGGAAACTCTCGCGACGGAATCCAACGCAGCTGCCTAGAAAGCCGCAACTGAAGAGCCCTCCGAGGCAGCTCTCACATGTTAATGTTAACGTGAGACCAGCGCACTCCACTAAGATGCTACCTCAGTGTAAGTGTAAACAGAGAAGCACTTCCACTGTTCCAATTAAAAATCATGCATTTCTTTAAAAAAAAGATCTTATTTTCAGTGACACTTTGCCCTGCTGGCCCTTGATTTCAGCCTCTGGAAGCTCAGCTGGAGGCAGCCGATCCTTCCAAAGAGTCGGCCACTAGCCCAAGCTTCAAAGCTAGGAGGGACTAACATGTGTGGGATCCAAAAATCAGTATTTCAGTATATTCCCCCTCAAAAAAAAAAAAAAAAAAAAAAAAGAGATTGTGGCTCTCCTGGAACATATCAGCCTCATTCTGAATCAAGGAGCCAGATGCCTTTACATAACTGAATGCAAGGTCCGGGGCCACCTTACTGTGAACGTGCACTTCACGTGGCCAGCAAAGCATGAGAGGGCTCAATGTCAACAGGAGACTGTGCAAGGGATTTCCCTTCGCTCCCCGCCCTTCCCTGGCTTTATACTTGAACACACGGAACGCACACGGAGCAAGATGAAGGGAACAATGTTGTTTGTAAACTGGCCTGCCAGGACACGGCTCCCAAGCTAAAAAAAGGAGCAGCAACAAAGCCAGCCGGCCTGGGTATTTTTAGACGTTGGACATTCCACCATGTGGTTTTATAAAGTTAAGGAATGATTAAGAGTGCTTAAAGTATAAAGYGCTTGTTAAAAAGTTTTAATTAACGGGCTATCTGCAGATCTGAGTAAACTAACAACTGAAGGTAATTATTGCTTGCATTGTACTGACTGACTGACTGAAAGCAGCCACATGATTTAAATATCCCTGGCATGGCAATTATGCAGCAGCAGTATTTATGAGGGAGCATTAATACTTGCTGTCTCCTAACAAGAGTTACYGGGGGGAGCCGGGTTTGGGCCGTGCTGCTGATACACACAACTGTACTGCAGCACCGACTTCATCATAATGGACCATAATTGTCCATCATAATGGACATCATMATTCCTCTCATCATAATGGACCAAAAAGTGGCATTTAAAAATACGTAAAACTCCCGAACAGACCCACAATGACCCAAAGCCAGTATTTCACTTGTGGGAGGTGGAGAAAGTCCAAATATTTGCACCAAGGAACTTCCCTATTGCTCCCTGCAATTAATCCGAAATGCGACTAATCCGGACGTAGGCATTTTTATTATCACCTTCAGCTCTTCTGTGGGGGAGGGTCAYGCGATTTCAGCAGCAGGTCCTAAATTTACAAGTGATTTGGGGAGATATTTCAAATGATTCATACTGTTGATTTTGGCACAGCAGAAGAATAAATTATGCTGTTAATTTTTACATTAGAGAGGGAAGCAGCGAGAAGAGGGAAACGAGAGATGGTCCTTGAAACTATTCACGGGTTTAGTACCTCAGAGCCAAATCTCGATTCAAATCCTGTTATTGGGCTGGCCCAGTTCAAAAGCTCTCCTAAACATGACCATGCACTTGAAATGTTATGGATTTAGCTACAGGCCTGAGTGAGCCACGGGCTCACAGACACAAGCACTAGCTCTCTGTAAGGTCATGCCAAAATCCAATGTAAATTTTTCTTATTGCCTCTATTAAAAGCAAAGGGCGACACATTTACACATATTACATAAATCCTCATTCGAATAGCAAGCATTTTCTAATCTATCTCCTCCTCCAACATCCCCGAACACTATGCTTGAAATGGGCTCCTGATGTGCGTGCAAGAGCAGCCTGAGAACCTAAAAGTTCATCCCAGAAGTTACATCAGCTATAGGTATTGCCGGTATTAAGGCAAAATAGTGCATGTTCCTGACAGGCACAGGACAAAGTGCTGCCATGCTGCTTTTGGACATAAAATAGCAAGGTGGAAACACAATGTTCAAAACGACAGCATAAAGTACCAAGTTGTCATTGTTTCTACTGAAAAGATTTCACAACTCCTTAACATCCATAAAATTCCACAGCCACACAGTTGTGGTGACTCCCTGCTTAGACAACAGGCTGCAATGCACAAGCAGAACATAATTTAGGCAGTTTCAAAACCACATTTTGCATTTCTGAAGAAGACCTGAGCACTGCCTTCTTCTGCCCTTGCAGCTCAGCTGTTCTCCAGGCCCACGTCTCCTGGGACAGGCCTCAGTTTGAGGCAGTATTTCTTCCCCTTGTGTCAGGAGAGTTTTGCTCCTTATTACTATTACTGCCTTTGTACAAGTTCTCAGGCCTGGTGCTGCGYTGCCAGCACAACTTTGCAGAAAGGGCCTCACGTACATCAGCAGGGGTAAGAGATTCAAGAACCGGACATCTGCACTGAGCCAAGCTTGGGCAGCAAGCCAGGTGGCCGGGCCTTTTTCAAATTTAACTATGGCACTAATTGAAAAAGTTATAAAGTTTGCAGGAACAGCCAAGACACATTGCTGAAGCCTGTCACTGCCTAAAGATTTCAGCCCTCCTAAAATTAAAACTCCATCCTGCATTTTCCCATCAGTTACATTGTCTTCGCCAGTCCAGATATCTTATGAACACTCAGTAAACTAGAGAATTGCACAATCCGTCAATAAAGTAAGCGTATTTTGAACTACTGTCCATATGACTCAATTTGTCAGTAAAAACTGCCACCAGCGCTGCGCTTGCAGAAAAATGTCCATAAATGCATTATTGCAACTGGCAGATCGATGTCCATAATAAAAACAAATAGATTTAACAAGTGCTCGCTTTTACGAGTTAGGCTATTGGTGGAATGTGTGTTCAGCTTCGCCCTTCAACTTCTGGGAATGGGCAAGAGGGGCCGGGTTAGGTACTTTGCTGACTTCACTAGTGCTGCAAACAGGAAATTATTCCAACGCAGGAAATCTTTACAAGTGTTAGACTGAATACTAATGCATTCAGGATGTATTTAGAAGTTCCACACATTCAGAACTTAGCATATCGTTCTGTAAAAAGAAAAATTTAACAGCTATGGTAAAAAGCAAACCACTTTTTTACTCTCCCCATGGCAGATTTCGTTTGGGCCAGATGCCTCCCGGGCAGAGCGGCTCTCAAGGCCGAGCTTAAGAACTGGCAGCAAATCCCCCTGCACAAACCAGGACCCCGGGTTTAGGGCCAAGGACAGCCGAGACTCGGCTC